GATCATTTTCAATAGCATTTGTCGTTGGGTCAAAACATGTCGGATGTACTTAATTTCATCGATCTATCTTGAAAATTGCGACCTGTAATGCATGAAAACCAGAGGGAGAGACGGATAGAGCCGCTTAGGTCAATTGAGAAAGTAATTCTGAACAAAAGGTCCTTCTCGGTGTGGCATACACCCGCACCAACTCACAAACGGTGTAGAGTGTAAAAATGAAGAGATTCACTCGATCACATTTCGATCTCTGCATATGAAAGTAAAAGTCTTCAAGTGCATAAAAAGCATTTTTTCAAAAGATGGTTCGAAACATTCTCAGGATTATGAGATTGTGTGAACAGTGAAGTGTTATTTGTAATCATCACTGCCTGCACCATATAATTAGTTTATTTCATCACAACCATTTTCAGGTAGTGTAAGGATTGTTGAGGACAGTATCTTCGAAACCAAAACTTAGCGAGAGCTATGTTCTTTTGAGAACTGGAAATTGTGACGTCAGTAGGTTGCTACTTGTCTATAATCGTATTGAATAGGAAATTTCTATGTTTGGTGTGACTATCGTCATGTAAGCAACTTTTTACACAGATGTCGTTTTAATGGCATCATTATGATCAATTACTTAAATATTTTGTGCTGTATATGTAATATGGTACAACAACACATTAATTATTTTAATTAAGCGACATACTCCTCTATATTGTATAACATCAAGGTATGTATGACATTAAGGCAAAGCAGAAAAAATCTAAAATATGCGGTATAACTGGTATTACAATGATTTTTTATTAGCATAGTGTTGTTGTTTTACTTACACGTACGAGCATACAATATTTAAGAAATGATTGCCATATAAATATTTCGTGTTTGCTTCGCTATTAGGTAATAATTTCTTGGATGATGCACATGATGCACATGCGTGGTGAAGAAGATTTGCCTTGAACACAGTATGTAACATGTTGGCATATTGACCAATAAAAGTGTACATGCATGTGTAAGTGCATTAGTTAAAAACTTGTTTATATTTTTCTTATCTGCACGCTCGACTCTTATGAGTATATCGAACATGCATTTGCGCAAAATGGACATTTGAGTTTAAACCATTTATGCTATTTGTACAGGGATCTAAGTATTGCTAGTTATCAACGATTTAAAATCCAATAGAACAGCAAAAGTGATATTAGCGAAGAAAGTAATTGCAGAAATTTTGACTAACCATTCTTCGATTACTACTCATTTAGGCTTTCAGATTTTGGATTTAATGTATTTGTATTATGCATGTAATACAGCGGTCAACAAATCCCGAGATTACGAAAGCAAAAGATTTTTTTTGTTGAAAAATCTAACGTTATTCGCTGACGTCGCAGACGATAAGTGTGAAACAATCAGTCGAACGCTTTCGAAACATTTTGACCCTTTCCCATGGGACTGACTGTTTGTCAAGCCCTTCAAAATAGGCTTCAGTTTCCGCAATGACCTCATCGTTTGATCCAAATCTTTTTCGCTGGAGCCTCCTTTTGAGATTTGAAAACAACAAATAGTAGATGTTGATCAGATCGGCAGAATAATGTAGATATGATAATAATTTGAATATCAACACATGCACTCTTGCTATTGACTCATTAAACGGATAAAGAAGAATTTTTCCAATCTTTTTTTTGGGATTCGGTTAGCATAGTGAGTGACCCTAAGATCTCGATCAGCAAACCCTATTAGCAACAATTCTTTATCAACACACGAAACTCAGATCATTTTTTTAGTCGCTTTAAAAATAATAAGGGTAACGTCTTTCAAACCGCTGGTTACAAAGTAATGAAATTAAGGTAGATATCGTTTGGGGATTAGGACTTGGTAAAAATGCTACGGATTTTTTGTTAAAGCCGATCCTCATATGCATTAGTGCCGGAACTTATTGACTGATGTATTATGTTAAACAAAAACAAATATGTACATTTTTTACTATTGCCTAACCACTTCCACACTGTACTTTCCATTTCTTTTCAAAATGCAGCGTAATTAATTTAAACATTAATTTAAAATTGTTGCTTCTCTTTATCACAAATATATCGCGGTAGTCATCAACTTCTTTTTCTGTCGTAATTGCAATATTTCGCAATGTTGTTGATAGAAATTTTTAGTGATTTTCCTTTTACTTTTTCTATAGGCTGCCGTAAATAATAAGCATAATAATTTTGTCATTACGTTTGTAACACCCAGGAACATGGAACGGAGATCCCAAAAATTTTAATATATTCCTTAGTAACATGTACATTTTAATCGAGTTAGTTGTCGTCTTTGTTGTCTGCTTTCGAGAAAAATAAAAAAAATAAAAAATTGTCAATACATTCTTGGTCGAATCGCGTAGATGAATTTTTAACAAAAGCGCACGCCGACCTGAAAAATGCTAAGGTTGCAGAATATTTCTTTTAATAAAACTAGATTTAGATTTTCTTGTAAACATATAAAAATCTCTGCAAAAAATATCTTACAAATGGTCCTGACTGCACCATTAATAAAAAGTTTCTCTCTCTTTCTTTCGTTCATTGAGTGCCCATTAAGTTTCTAATGCCCATATTCCTGTGCAATAGACTTGTCAAGCGGTGTACGCACAGTGTGAAATGCAATATCGATGCAGTCTTGTTGGTTCTGTTGCACTAACCAGAACCATATGCAATAAACAGCCGGGTTAGTAGGCATATCCTTGCATAGGATGAAATTGGATAAAATGGAGATTTCTTATTTATTGCATTAAACAGTGGATGATAAATTTACACTAATTTTTCCAATTTTCCAATGTCCAAAAATCACAATAAATAACTGATACCTAATACATATACTTTTGGGTGCACTTGATAGATGGCAACTGGATGTCTATGGCCATGCACAGAATGCACAAAATGCAATACGAAAAAGATGATGCGATAGCCTGAACGACAAATTTTTATGTAGTGATATCGTCACGTTTGCATAAGTGTATCGATTTGAAAAGCAATATATGAAAAATTTTTGTAAAAATAATTTTATTTCTCAAAATTGTCTGTTTTCGCCAACCTCTGATAGTACTTACATAGTTCATTATTTAAGGTTCGCGTGATATTCGGGTGAGAGAGAAATTTCTCGCGCATCATTTTGAAACAGTGCATATGCAAACAAATCGTTTGAGACCTCGGCCCTTTGTTGTTCAGAGCTGTGTAGAGCAGCAGGGGCTTAACGCCATTAGTAATTCAAACTACAGGTGTTTGATTTGAGTTTGACTCTTTGGCTTTGGTTATGGCGATAACGGGTGCATAAATTGGTGCAATGCATGATTGGTGAAATATGTGATCGTTTTTGTCTACGTATTATCACTCAAACGCTGCTATAAGGCCAAGTAAACTTCACTGCTTATTGTTTTGCATGTTCGAAGGTAATCCCAAGAAACTGAAGCATTCCTTGTAGCCATTTCTCGACTGTTTTCTTCCTAAAAGCGACCTAACGGAACCATTTATTTACGATTATCCATCATCACCACCGCACTCCAAAACATCGCCATGCACTCAACTAAAACATGGTCACAACACGGCTTTCTCATATCCTACTTTTCAGTCAATATGCATTGTACAGCACTTTTAGAAAAGGGTATCGCATCTGCCACCTGCCAAACTTCATTCACCAGTCACCCTATAATATTTATACTGTGTCAGAGACAGAAGAAGGCAATTTCCTTAAAAGCAGAGCTCTCCACGGTATTTTCCCTTGCTTCGACTGAGATCTTTCAACTGGAAGTATTGAATCACAACTTTGCTTCCATCTGAAGGATCTCTGCTCACTCGTTTTCAATCATATCGAATCGCATTTTCTTCCTTGTATGCGGATTCATTGGGAGCGTTCACTATTGACGAATGTCAAACAAACACTAAACAACGCAATGTGTATGCAAACTTGAAACTTGAGCTTTACAAGATCGTTGCCATGGAACCATTGCAATTTTTTTCAAATAAAAGGCCGTGTACTGGTGTTGAACCCTGCCCTGCTATAATTTCAATACTTGGTTAAGTTATTGCTCCCTGATTGTGTATATGAAATTTTTGGAAAAGCTTTATCCAAATTCTGTCTTTAATCGCACTCGAATCGAATGGAGCACAATTTACCGAAAATATGCGTGCGTTCAATTCTAAAATTTGTTCAGCAAGCTTTTGTGATGAATTTATTTTTAATTTTTAAATTTTCCGATCTCGAAGAACGCCATTTAGGAGTAGACGTCTACAAGGTACATGTGCTTTCGAACAGCTCCGCTGTTCTATCTAACATGAAACATGGGCTCAATGTGACCAAACGATCTCATCATAATGACCATGAGTTGTATGCCGTTATTTTGTTACAAGAACTACGTGACGTAAGAATAGGTACGAAGAGTATTTAGAATAGCGGGAAAAAGTGTACTCAACTGAATTCCAATGGGATACCTTGCAAGCAGGCTTCATGGGGCAAGATGTCTTGAAATCACACTGATGCGATTTGCATTTTCAAAACGACAAGATTCTCAGTCCAAAACATGCCTGTATCCCAATTTATTGAGTAAACTGCCTTTACATGTATATAGTAAGTCGATGAAAAATATCATATTATGTCGAAAGGCATAAGATTGTGCTTTTTTGTATTTAAAGAATACATATATATATGTATAGAATGCAGAGAATTTCGGATAAACATAAACGTAACCAAAATTTATTCACAAAGCCATTCATGTTTCAAACAAACCTCTTTCGAGAGTGTAAGTGAACGTCGGTAAGCACACAGCGAGAGAATAAGCAAACTTGTGACTGAAATGCAAGATATTGAAGGCTGTGATGTATGTTAATGGGCCAATGACCGGAATTGAGCGGACGTAATTAGTTTTTATTTACAAAATCGAAAAAAAGTGCATCAGCGAAATTGTTCTTATTGTAATTGTTGTTAACTGTCTATTCGTTGGTCGAATTAGCTATAAAAAGTTGCGGTCTCCGTAGCTCGGCTACTGTAAACTTTTATCATTCAGGTGCTCGATTTCAAATTAACTGAAATTCTGTTTCAATTTTCAATTTTCGACATGAACTCGTTGAGAACGGTTTGGTTATTGATAGGTACGTTGACTTTTGCTTGTGCCGTCAGCGTTCCTAGATCTTTGCAGTTGAACTCTGACAAATATTTACTGGACAATAACTTGAAATCTGCCGAATGGATATCTCTCTTAGAACTGGAGCCATTGCCGTCTTTGGATAAAATTTCCTTCAAAAAATTGGAAGAAATGCCCTTGAAAGAAGCAGCTGAAATGTTGAACAAGTTATGTAAGTTGAATAAAACTTATAGGGGATTATTCTCTTGCACAAATAATTCTAAATTGCTTTATTTCAGACCATTTATCGAAAATAAATCATCGACCTGTGGATACTTACACTCCGAATACCAGCGACATTGATGCACTCTTGACTACCACTAATAATGAAAAAATCAGTTTTAAATTAAGCAAAATAGTGCAGACGGCTATGAAGGACTCTGATTTCGGAAAGCAGGTAGTGACTATCTTCGTAACCGGTCTACCGAAGGATTTGAATGCCGTAAAAAAAGCCAATAGTGAGCTAATACGAGCTTACATGCAACGATATTACAAACTTCCGTTGAACCTTAATTTAAATCACACATATAAAGAAATGGGCAGCGAGGAGATGTCAAGCGACAAGTCCGAGGAATTGATTGCAACTAAGAAAAGTAATGGAAATATGATTGTGATCGACTTAGGGTCGGCTATGCGGAATTTCAAAGAGTGGATCACTTTCGATATAGAAGAAATGGGCATAAATCTTGGCAATGTCTTGGCCGAGCTTACTGATAAGGTCGATGTACCGCAAGAACTTATTCACGTGATTGGTCAGGGAGTAGCGGCACATGTAGCCGGAGTGGCTGGTCGTCAATATTCGCGGGTCACTGGACATCGACTTCGTCGCATCACTGGGTTAGATCCCTCTCAAATATTTGTGAGCAACAAAAATCTCTTGAGTGGACTGGCTCGTGGAGATGCCGATTTTGTTGATGTTATACATAGTTCGTCCTATAGCATGGGTACAGTTACGCGATGCGGTGACGTTGATTTTTATCCAAATGGACCCAATCAGGTGCTGCCAGGCTCTAAAAATGTAATCGAAGCCAGCATGCTTGCAACATGCTATTTTGCCGACACGGTCCTACCCCTAATGGAACATGTTTTTCCCGCAGTCGCGGCCACCTCTTTGAAAGAGTACAAAAATGACAATGGCTACGGAAAGCGGGTGTTCATGGGCCTCTCCACAGATTTTGACCTCAAGGGTGACTATATTTTAGAAGTGAACATGAAAAGTAATTACGATCCTAATACTTCTCCCGAGAAACAAATGGACTATCGCAAAATGCACAAGCCTTGGCAAATTATTGACGAAAAATTTACGCGAATGTATTGATAGTGTATCGAATTACATAGAGTATTGTTTGCAGACATGGCGGGGCACGTGAAAGGTAAAATGTGCAGTAATCCAAAATTTTTTAAAATATTAAAATTCCATTTGTAATAAGAGAACCTAAAATGCATTTATTAAAAAAGAAAGAATAAAATTAAGCTCACTTGGATGAAACAATTTCGTATTTAATATTTGCATTAATTGTTTAGCTCAGGCAAAAGCCAGGATAAGATAGCATTCCAGCTATAGTTCCACTCTAATTTAATACATAATACTTTTAATGATAACAATTACGATATGGTTATATATAACATGATATGTCGGTGTAGAAAGAGAGGGAAGAGGCGAAGAGAGAAATAGCGAGAGAGGTGCGGATATTGTGGCAATGCATTGAAAGAACGTCGCAGAGGTAAAAGTTCGATCTGTAAAGCTGCTTTCACCATTGAAAGAATGAGATATAGATAGGTGGGGAACAATTATTAAGTAGTACTAAAAGTAGTTAATTGGATATTTTTATAATTACAAAAAAAAAAAAAAACTTCCTTATAAATAAAGCTTAAAGACTACATTGTAAACCTGTGGACATATATACACATAGATATAGATATCGCGTTTAATACGTTAGTATAAAATTTAAATATTCGTTTTATTTAATTCCAATTTATAATTTGAAAATTTTGGTTTATATAAAGATAAAGGTTTACTTTTACTTAGTCAACCGAAATACGTTTTCTTTTGTCTTAAAATTTCATTTGAATTGGAACATAGTGAAAACCAACAGCCTAACAAGCAAACACTCATAAATAAATCTATGGTTGCAATGAATGCTCTGGTAGTATACATATACGTTGCTATATGTGCACATAAATATATATAAATAAATAATAAACACATCTTGTATTCATTCCTTGCAGCCAAGACCGGCAGCCCAATTACACATGCCACCGACCGGATCATAGCTTAAGCCTTTCGGGCAGGTGTACTCCCAGCCTACAACACCACCGGTTTCAAATTTAGCACAGGAAATGAATTTCCGGCAGGACAGTGGATGTGGAAAATTGCCTTGGTCTAGGCATTCGATTACGCCGCCACCATGTAATATAACTTTAAGCTAGAAATACAACCGAAATGCATGTAACAGAATCGAGTAAGTCGAGTAAAGCGAGCAAATCGAGCAAATGATAATTCAAAGATGTTACCTGTTGCTCGCTATTGTCCACGACACGTACATCTTCATCATCATAATAATCGTACTCTGAACGATAAATTTTGGGAGTTTGTTTTAAGCCCACCTTAACAGCGGGCACTGCTTGATTACTCTCAGTTTTGTCAAAAGATTCCAAGTATTTGTAGGGGCGTCTTCTGTTTACCCGATTTGTGATTACGGGCTGAGGGTTATTGGGCGTTACTTTATGTGGCCTTCTTTTAATAATCATTTTACCTAAAAAGCCGAACGGGGGCATTTCAATATGATACCACTCAAGTAAAGTAACATCAGCATTTTTCCTTACGTTTCTTCCAAGTAGGCTTTAATGTTGTTGTTTTTGTCGTGGTTGTAGGTAAATTGACAGTTTCGTCCATGCGACGAGTATTTGCTAATTCGTCAAAATTAAATTTGTTTTGTTGTGCTGGTTGTGGCGCTCTCGTTGCAAGCATTACATTTGCAGCATTAAGTAAATGTTTTTCATCCACCACCTCTTCGTCGTCGTCTATAGATGTGGGTCTGTCGTGAACTTTATTAAAATGACTGCTGTAGATGCTTGATTTGGCCACTTGATCTGACGACTCTCCAACTTCGAAGGCATCATTGGTGACGGTGGTTGTAAACGTGTCTGTTACTGCATCAGTTGTCGTTGTTGTTTTTGTAGTCGTTGCTCTCAGCAACGAAAATGTGTTTGGACGTCGTTTGAATAATGGATTTGCCGTCCGTGGTGGCTCTGTAGCTGAAAATGATGTAAAGAAGTAACTAACTAAGTAATCGTTCACTGCACACATTCCTATGAACATGCTTCATGCATATTAAATTAATTATGTATGTATTGCAGAGAGCTTAGCAACCACTTGACATTTAAATGAGAGGAAAAAAACTAAACAAGTTCTCGTTCACCTTTTAGTAATAAAATTAGATAACTTTTTATCAAAAGTACGCGATACGTTCAATGTAAACCGTCATAGGACGCATTAAAATAGTGAGCTTGTGAGTAATACTCCAAATACCGTTATAACATTTTGATTCCCTACACCACTTGTGTTACAAGGGCATATCAAGTTTGGGTGGATGTACGTAACACTCATAAGGACTCAAGATTGGTCCCCCTCTTATCATAGCAATCGATCCATTATCACATTTTCAATCAACCCAATCTCGTCTCTCCGTCTGTCCGTTTCGTTATCTTGCGTTCACCTGCAGACATTTTGATGAAATTTTCTACATCGGGTTTCTTTAGCGCAAAGATGACTTCTATCCAAGATAGGACCATCTTTTCGATCACTTCCTATATAACATGTTACTTTCAAACGTCGTTACATAAATCACTGTGTCAAGTAGTGTCGGCTACCTATGGCATGTACAGCGTTTTTACTTGTTTAAAGTAAATATGTACTCTTTGCATCAGCATGAGTTGAAGGAAAGGTTTTTTACACTGACTTTTGCAAAGATTTATACCGAGTTTTAGTTCAATATCTGTTTTTACTCGTATTCGAAACCTTCTGTGTGAACGTACTTGTAGGTGGATCCCGATGACTGTTACTCTGAAGCCTCATGTGTTTGCCGTAAAGATTTGTTCTAAATTTTAGTCTAATGCGTGTCAAAAATTACAAGAGTATGGGACACGTTAAGGTACGGTTTCCTGACTCCAGTCCAGAGAACGCGAGTACTCGAATGACCCTCGACAAACAAGCCGGCCGGCAAATCAGAATTTTGCACTGGTTAGAAATTTAAAAAGTTTATCAAGTTACCTGATGCGCATTTGTAGATTTTGTACCTCGTTCGTCGGCTATGCGAGCGTATGAACAAGTATTTGTTAGCAAATTACTTCTATCAGTCAGTCAAATCAATTCACAAAAGTAAAGTATTAAAAAAATTTCTAAAATTTTCATTGGGTGATAATAAATTCCCCCCTCCCGCTTACTATTCATTCCACTCAAGCTTTACATGCTCGGATCACCACAACATTAATAATTTAAAGGCGCCTAACGAAACATAAAAAATTTCATTAAGAAGGCACTTAGGGCTACATTTACTGAGTAAGGAGGATAGTCAGGTAGTAGTGTCGGTGCGCTTTGCGTAGTCTATGGGTTGTGCTTTTGCCGTCAGAATGTATTAAGGTACTCAAGTTTCTTCTGGTACAAGTAGTCGGTGATAACAGTTGTCGGAAATTTGCAATATTTTGGTCCAAGCTAAGGAATCGTGACATCAAATGTCTAAATGTTGATTCAATATGTGACAACCACGTTCTCTACTATCTCTCTAGTCTCAATTCGACGGCCAGTGTGGTCACGTTTCCCTTCCGCTAACCCAAATTTCGTTGTAGTAAATAAAGTGTTCACGAAAAAGCTCACACTAATTCACTCACACAACCACGCAGTCTCACATATCTAACAGCAGCTAACCGTCCACAATAACTGAGGTTTTGGTGAGTACATAACATCAACTTATTCATAAACATATTCTTCATTTTTTATGGACAAGCGCTGTTAGTAGAGTGCTTGGAAAGTTTCCAGAAAGCCTACGTATACACCAGTGGCTAACATGAACCATGAGACATGCGATGCGATGCGTTGGGCGAATTTTTTTTACGGTGATCGTAGAGATTATACAATTGTAGATGAAATGCTTTACAGAAATAGGTCGAAAGTTTACCTAATACTTAATAAAAGTACAATGAAGTATCAAAAGGAATTGCTTTTAGTAACGAAATTTCTTTTAATTGGGTTTGATTGCACGTAACCGTAGCTGTGCTCACGAATTGTCGCGATTTCTTTGGTATTTTCTCAATCTTAGCACTTACCTGAGTCGTCATTATTTGAGATCGTTGTACTAATTGTTGTTAAACGCCTTGTTTGATATTTACGCCTTAAGGCAAGAGGTGATGAAAAAGTAGTCGACGAAGAGAGTTTTTTAACATTTTGGTTGATGTTGTCAACGGATGCTGCTGCGAGATATGAAGAGGCTAAGCTCAAATCTGACGATGAACATAAAAGTTAATAAACAGACATTAATTTCTTGCCAACGTTTGCCTAATCATACCAAAATTTCGCCTTACCTTGTGGCTTATTAAAACGTAAGCGATTGTATTTTGGTGTTGTCATTGATAATGTTGTTGTTAACTCATCTCTAACTGAAGATGATGGAGCAGTAATAGCTGGAACGTCATCGCTTGTCTCAATGCCAGTGGTCGTGTGTATGTGTGTTGGTATAATCGTAGTTGATGATGAATTGATTAAACGTCTGCGCAC